ATCGATGTAGGGTATTGACTGATATCAACTTTCACCTTATTGGTACTCCTTAACAAGGTATGAACCAAAACTGAGAAATGTGAACCTTCTCCATTCCTCCTATACTAAAGTACTTCAATCACAGACAGTATCAAAGATAACTTGTTCACGGTGTCAATGGTCCTATGTGGAACTGAATTAGAACTGGTTTAAAAATAAAAGTTCAATTTGAAAATCTTATCAACCAAACAAATGATTTCCTACCAGTTTCAAACAAGATAATTGAACAGTTCAAATCAACTGTCTTTAATTGCTGTCATCAGTATCTGAATACCAAGCCACAGTGAATACGATTGTTGACAAAGGTGAATAAAAAGCAACTGAAAAAAATCTTGAAAATTAGATATTTTCTGCTAGTTCATCCTGATGAAGGCACTGGTATTGTCCTCATGGGTAATTCAGAATATAACGCAAAGATGGTCTCTATCTTATCAGATTTCAGTAAATTTTCTAAAGGGTTTGCTCAAAATGACGCCACTGAACAAATTGAACGAAAGCTAACCCAAGTTCTAAAGAAAATGAAGAATGAGTCTATTATCAACCCCAATCTATTCTAGCAGTTGAGACCTGGTTCTGTTACCCCTCGCTTATATGGTCTCCCGAAAGTACACGTGGAAGATCTTCCTCTTGGCTTAGTTTTAGACATGAACAATTCACCATACCATTCTATCGCCAACTGGCTGTCGGACGTCCTCCAGCCAGTCAGAAAACAGTTAAATACGCATAGCTTATTGCATTCCTTCGATTTTGTCGACTCAATTATTAATGTCAATATATCCGGTAAGCGAATAATTTCTCTGGTTATGGTCTCGCTCTTCACCAATGTCGCACTTACGAAAACTATTTGTTTTCTGTGTGATTTCATTGAAGATAATAATTTTCACGTCAGTATCCCAAAGCGCTATTTAAAAAAATTTCTTCTAAGTAGTACTTTTAACCTGCAGTTCAAATTCGACAATGATCTATATAGACTAAAGGATGGGGTTGCTATGGAGTCACCACTTGGACCACTGTTGGCTGAATGCTTTATGGCGAACTTAGAGAATATTGTGCTTCAGTCAATAATTGATAACTTCTACCTATATATAAGATACATGGATGATAAATTCATCTTATGTAATCAAAATAAAGACACTGGGACTGTAGTTAAAACGTTCTGTGACTGTCACCCATCTACCAACTTCAAATCAGAGTTCAAAGAGAACTCAAAATTCTATTTTCTCAGTATCTTGTTGAAACGGAGAGCAGATGGTTCTCTTCAGAGACCAATTTATAGGAAGCCTACATGAAATGGACAATACTTGAATTTCCATAGGTGGATGCCTGTTGACAGGAAAAGAAATCTGATCCATTCTTTATCTTCAAGAATGAGAAGAATCTGCACGAGTGATACTATCGACGATGAATTAGACAAACTACGAAAGATCCACATGCAAACTGGATACCCATCCAGATTTGTTGAGAAGAAGTTGAAATCAAAGCAGAATACGGAGTAAGTACTCACAGTTCCAAAGAAGACCTTGTCTATGAACGTTGGCTTCAAAGGCGATACGGCAGCAGAGAATCTGGAGAATCGGCTGTCCAGATCACTGAAGAGGACATTCTTCTCTGCAAAGCTGCAGATCAGCTTCTCTAGTCAGTAACTGGTTCTAGAGTGCGTCAACGATAAGTTTCCACTTTGAGCCACCACATTGTGTGTCTATAAATTTACTTACTCCTCTGGAGCTGGTTATGTAGGCCGCACATAGCTGAGACTTTCCAGACCTGTCTCTGAGCACTATCCTGCACGGTTGTCGAGGGGAGAAGGTAAAGCAATCAACAGTTCAATTCTTGAACTCTAGACATATAACTCGACCAGAGTCCTCCTTCAGTGTTATTTATAAAGTCAAATAGGATAGTTCAGTAAGAGTACACCTTCGACAGTTGTGCATAGTGGAAGCACTGGCAGTTCATCAATTCAAACCTAATCTCTGCGTACAAAAGAAGTATGTTCAATCTCTTATCTAAGACTATGGTCTTAAAACTTTCACAGCTCTTTATCGATTTCATTCTAATTAATTAGTTTAGTATTATCACCTTCATTATGACCCTTGTCTCATTCTTCAACTCCTATACATCTATCTGTCAAGTGAATATTCAATATTCTTATTTCTCATATACCAACAACTTTCACCCTGGGAGTACTGGACAGTTGTATAGGACTCTTAGCGACGCGCACCCACGACCCCACCAGGGATCGAACCCGCGACCGTCAGGTTCCTTGGCCAGCATGTTACCATTGAGCTACTGGGTTAGAATTCAATGGTCCATGTTTCCAACTTCTGTTAGCTCACGAAACAGCTGTCCAGTGCTCCAAGATTTCCTTTATTCCTCTAATTGATGTCAGTCTATGATGAATAACAACTTGAAATATTTTCAAATCCCCACAACTCCCTCAAAATTCAATTTTTACCCTGCCAAACACCCTTTACCTTCCTCGTTATTTCCACTATCTAAAAGATTATTATGCAACTAATTTCCATTCCTGGTTCCAGTTTATTTTACTAGTAGGTCAATGATACAATTATACCTTATTGTTTAGTAACAGACTGTTATATGCTTATGATATATATCTATATACTATTGTGCAGTTTTAGAAAATGATATCGTAGAAAAGGAAGACTTTCTTATCTGAATTATCTCTTCTTTTCTTTATAACATATTGTGATTGACAGAGTAGAATTGGCTGTTCATTTCAATGACTAATGTGTGTAGATATCAAACTTCAACAACCTTTGAACATAAAATAATGAACAGTTCAATGTGGGGTGTAAAAGGACAGATTGAGTGAAATTAGTAAAGTTTATACAAACCACATAACTACTGACAATGTACTAAGTAGCGTATATGGCATAACCTTAGATGATGACAACAGATTACCACTTTTCTTCTCTTTTTTTTTTAAAGTCTCTTTTACTCCTGGGAATTGAACAATAAAAAAATTTGTCTATTGTTAAAGATATTACACCCTGGTCAAAATGTACTTTTGGTGTTAGTAACATGTGTGGTAAACACACTGTCATTTTTTTATTTGCAAAACACACAGAAACGTTTAAAATTCCATCAACCTACTTTATGAGAAATAGTAAACCGGAAATTCTAGTCTAAATTGTTTGGGAAAAAGATTTTCTACGGCTGATTCTCTAAAATGTGGGTTTGTGTACTTTTTAAGTTCATCTATGTGGCTTTCCACGATTGGTAGAATTAATATGCATACATATTTGGTTGTGTGTGGACTGGATCATACAGCAAACGGTGAGGAGCGAGAAGAGAGGGATACGCTGGACCGAGGAAAAACACCTGGAAGATTTGGATTTCGCCTATGACTTGTGTCTAACGTCACACAAAATTGAAGATCTACAAGCAAAAACTAACAAGTTGACAGAAAAGGCAGGGCAGCAAAAGAAGACGAGACTTCAAGTGAACGTAGAGAAGACAGAGGTGATGAAGATACCCGACCAATAACAGAATCAACATCAATGGGAGAAACCTAAAGGAAGTAGTCTCTTTTGCCTGTCTAGGCAGAGCAGCATCGTTTCAACTACAGGCGACACAGGGACAGACGAGGACATCAAAGCCAGGATCGAGGAAGCAAGACAGGCTTTCATTAACCTGAAAACAGTGTGGAGATCTACACTCATCATAAACAACATCCTAATTTTTGACACTAATTCAGTCAAGTTATTGCTTCTACGTGTTGGTTCAGAAACTCGTCGTGTCACGAAAAGCATTTGCAACAAACTACAGACATATACCACATCAGCAGCTGCCACCTTGGGTCACTCGTTACTGAAGCTCAGATGGCCAGAAGAATAAGCAACAAGGAAATCTGACCTAGCAGCGAACCAACCAAGAAGCCATTCCCCCAAAAAATATGCAGAAGAAAGTGGAGATGGATTGGGGATGCACTAAGAAGACCATTCGGGGACATCACGTTCCAGGCCAGGCACTCGAGTGGAACCCAAAGGGGAAACGGCGAGTTGTGCGTCCGAGGCGAGGGTGACATGCAGGAGATCGTGTGAGGAAGAAATGAGAGCTTGTGGGCAGTGGTGGAGCCAGGTTGAAAAGATTACAGAGAAGAGAGTGGAATGGAGACGTGCTACTGAAGTCGTATGTCCTAGTCGGAACCCAGGGACAAATAATAATAATATTTGGTTGTGTGGTGAACCGCTAGGTTATCATTTGATTATCTGAGATAGACGTATTTTGGTAGACTGGAATTTATACTGGGTAATGACTGAAGGTGAGATGAAGTTCTGGACCGCTGCCGTAGCTTAGTTGGTAGAGAACCTGGCCGGTAACCCTGTGGTTGACGGTTCGAATCCTGTCGCTGTCCAGATTTTCATCTCACCTTCAATGATCACCTAGTATGAACCATTAGGTGTTTTATTTTAGCTGAAGATAAGGTTTAAGGCAGAATCTGGATGATACTAACAAAAAAAATTCATTGTGATTGCAAATAGTTTTACTGACCCCAAGGTTGCTGGGTCTTTGTGTACCAAGCAATGTGGCTTTTGGTTTCACGCACCAGTTTGTCTGTATGGTGATTCAACTTTGAGACAGATGACGAAATTCTTTAATAGAGTTAATCGTAATAATCATTACTTTCTTTGGAGTGACTTTAAAGGCCAACTCAACATTTACTGTAATAACTAATTAGACCTAGCTATTTTATGAAAATCAAGCTCCTGGGTCAGAGTCTAACATTGGAAATGTGAACCATTGGATTCCGACTCAGTGACTAGTTCATTGGTAACTTGCTCACTACGAAACCTCGAGATATGGAGTTAAGTCCCTAGAGAGGTATGCCCTGCTGAGCGGTGCCAGTGGGATGTCAGTCCGTGACAAAAGCCACCTTGAAACTATCCAACTACCGTGGTGTTTTTCAACTCCCAGTGATTTGACAAAAACGCAAGAGTTTCATGAAAGAACCATATTTAGGAGCTAAATCAGTATGGAATTCTCTGAGATATTCTTGGTCCTGGCGTTTGTCGTCAGAATCATCTACTTTACCTTATTCGTGTATGAATAAGACATTGAATGATTCCAGTTTTGAGGTTTGTTCTTCACCAAGAAGAACCTATCAACAAGATAGAGGTGAGAACAGTTGCATTAGCCTAAAGATGTCTGAAAAACTGTCAACAAACTCATTCATTCCTCCGGTATCAACCTGATAATCTGAAGGATTCCATGCACAAAGAATTTAATTCCAAGAACTGTCAACATCACTAATTTGGTCAATCCAGTCGTCGAATACGTCAAAGAATTTATAAGTGCCAACGTATCGTTAAAAGACAAGACATACTGTCACTAATATCGATACATGTTGGTAAGGACAGCAACAACTTCAACTGGAACAACATGGAGATACTATAACAGGCAAGCTCTAAAACTGCAAAAGAATTCCTGGAAGTATAATGCTCCAGTTAAAAAGAAATCGACTGACACTTGGATTGCTAAGAAGGGACCAGTTAACATGAAACCAATGAAGCAACTCAATAATAGGACATGAGATAGATGGCATAGGTCAAATCATTAGGCTAATAATATTCCTTCCTTTCAGTGTAACCAGAAAATCACTTAGGATGCTACTGTCAGCATGTGATAGGAGAATCACTTCTACTCAAAATCCACTAATCCTCATAGTTGGTAAATATCTTGAAAGAACTACAGTCTATTTGATTGCTAATGGGGGAATCCAGGATGCTCTTTTTTTTTATATTTACGTCGAACAGCTCGATCCTGTTTGAAGTCATCTAGTTTGATAATGAAACGCTCAAGAACAGACTTTGACCAATGAGTACTGAATATTTATCATTGTCTAATCTCTTTATATCTGACTTGTCTTCAAATGTCATCAAAATTACTAAATACACTTTTGAAAATTCCCTAATTCCTATCCTCCATTTCTCCTAGATTCATGAAATCGTCTTTACAACGAAAAAAACAAAATGTTTCACTTTATATTCACTAAAAAACTGAGCAGCGTTAGGCACACTGATGCTTAAAGTTCAATTATCAGTGGGTTTTATTTCAAACTAGTAAGCATAGATTGTATTCAAATTGCATTTTTCTCTAAGAAATCTAGACAAAATTTATTTTCACATGAAATCGAATAACTAGAATCTTTCCTCAGTTAGTTTCATAGGACTTGATAACACTTTTTCCGAAGGGAGGAAATTGAACATTGAAAGTCTAGATTCTTCAAATAAAGTTATACTACATACCAGACTGCAAACATGTGCTACTGATGAGTGTTGACAAGAGTAAAAAGTAGGTGTAGAACACTCACCCACGGTTATCTCAGATAGTCAAACTGATAGTCACTGCGTATTTGAGTCATTTTACCTCACCTGTGTGGCTTGATCAACCACACCCATTTGTTGTCGCCTATTCATATCTTCAGTCAGTCAATCAGTAGAAAGTCATTAGGAACAAGGAAAAGACAGCAAAACGAACAGTAGAATGCTCCATGATGATCAGGATGGAAGTAATGTATAGTTACATCTGTACAGGTAAGTACGATTCTGAACTATATTGCTCAAGTTTTAGCCAATTATTTCGGTTGTCACACAGACTCTAAAGTGGATGTCCACATTTCGCGTCCAGTGCTAAAACCGGCAGTCAGAAACTTCATGCGGTGACGTCATATTTTAGTCTGGCCGCCTGTAACCTTGTTCAACCCTAACCCTATTTCAGCTAACAACGTGCAACCAAGCAGACAGTGAGTTGGGCATGAGCAACACATGAGCCGATGAAAGATCAGCCAACTTTTATGTCCTATCTAACTCTCTCTACCTGACTCCTCTTTGCTCATTTGGTAGTCTCACAAAACGACGCTAAGGAGTCAGTGGTGGTAGAGCACCTAAACGTACTCATGTCCTCCCCCCTTAGTAACCATGTTTTCGTACTGTAGCTCAATACAGTCGATCCTTAGCAGGAAATTGGATATCTCGCCGGCATTATGGATGGTACAGGTTGGCCAAAGCTAACTTGCTAGTCATATTCAAAATTATCTGTGGTATCAATCAATCCAAAGTTTTGACTATGATTTTTACATGATTCCTGCATTTTTGATAGCTTGTGAGTATGCACCAAAATGATGTGTGTCCAGTGGACAAACTGTGGAGGCGATAACTACTGAATTCAAGTCAACTGATACAAACTTTAAGGCAACCTATGCGGGGTAAACCAGTAAATGAAAAATTAAAAAGATTTACTATAATTCAACTCAATTCAAGCCTATATAATAGGCTATAAGCCACACATGTTGTGTGAAACCCAGGCCAAATTGTGACTGAAGGGTTTTTAGACCCAGTACTCACCGCTTGAGGGGTAGTTTCTCAATCCAACAAGCCGAATCTCCATTTTTAGCAAATACACGAAAAAGCCGCTATTGATGATCTCTTGGCTTCATAACCAAGTCAGAGTGATCTAAACACGTGACGGTGGTTTCACCTTTATTTAGTATCCACCTCATCAGCCGTCTGTATTCTCAAATTATTTAAGACAGCTCATCCAGATATTGACCTTGGAGAAAGATGCCAGGTATATAATCAGTTGAATAGTTCCAGAAGTGGATGGAATCAATATCTGATACTCAAAAAATCCATTTTTAACTGACAGTCTGGTGTATATGGTGATAAGCATTCTCTTTTGATCTTATGTTCCAGAAAGATTTGTGTTAAACACGACAAAACAACAAAAAGTAGAACAGATTCACTATATATCAAGCATACTAGGGGAATTGGTCCCCCATAGAATCATGAATTCACACCTCCACCGCTTTCAGGTTTCCACTGGTTTTGCAGCTAACACTGAAGGGTGATGAACACTTCGGAGTTCTGCTTGTTGTCTACCGTATATGTTAACCTTGTTTCCCGGAAACTAGTTGACTACTTTGTATCATTCAGTTGGGTGTGGTGGGGTCGTTCAACTTATATGGCAGCTAGGTAAAACACTCAGATTATTGAGAACGAAACCTCTTTTGAAGCATAAATTCGGGTTCAAAGGCGACTTAATTAAAGATGTGTTGACATAGATCCCGCCTATGTATATTTTATACAAGAATACTACCTTCATTTAAGCGATGTTGGGATATCAATTTGAACAACCCACTTTGATCTAACGTGAAACTCCTCTAAAAAATGCTTTCGATGAAGATGGTGAAATATTAACTGTAGAAACATTTGACTCATAGAACAATATACACAACTTAGAATCCTTACCGTTCCATACTTTCAGTTAAAATTTTTGCCTGTGTCATCAATCAGTACTTCTCTAACAGACGATATGTGTGCAGAAGTTTACTGAGGTACTCAAGTTGCAAATACTGCCCGTGAATGTGTTATCCAGTATCATAAAAACGTTGTACTAATCGATGCGTTGTAGTGCGACTATGTACGGGAATGCTTTAAAATAGCTGTTGATCGAAGAGCACATCTCTGAAGTGTTTGTTGGATCACATAAATGCTCAGCAGATCACATATGAAATCCCAGTTTACTAAGATTTTCATGTAGGAATGAAATCAGTTCATGTTGAAGGTGACCACTTCTCTTACGTGGGAGATTGTATCAGCCGTGATGGGTCATTGACTGACGAAATATCTGCACGAGTGAAAAAAAACTGGATTATCTTTCTCCAAAATCTGTGACAACGTCGTAATATCCGATTTTTTATTAAGGTTTCAGTGTGCTGCACTGCAGTTCACTCGGTTCTGCTACATGACTGCGAAATATGATCATTAAAGGTAGACGACATTAGAATTTGACTACTTTCACCTTCGTAGCATAGACAGGGTCTCATGCTGTCCCCACATCAATAACCCAGAAGTCAGGTGTAGAGTTTTAGAGAGAAGAGAAAAGTTTTAAATGAATTTATGAACCTTCATCAACTCAGGTATCTAAGACATGTGTTATGACATGGCCAGTAACAGTCTACCTCGTCGACCAATGTTAGCTGACGTAGGTTCAGGCTGGTCCTGTGTTGATATTGATAATGATGATCATGGTTACGCTGATAATGCTGTCTATTTCTAAGTACTGACCAAAGTCTATCAATCATCCTGTGATTTGACCACCAAACTAGGAGATTCATCGCGACGTACTTAGATGGATATTAGTTAATCGGAGACAACCAGTAGGAAACTCTGGACCTGGCGGTTTCGAATCCAAGGGGGGACATCGGATACGCGTTGATGATGAGCGTCAACGAGCATGAGACCTATGCCTCTAATTCAGTAACCTTAAACTGCCTGCCTCTCATGAATGTCATGTTACAATGCTCTGAGTACTCACTGTCTTTACATTTGAAACTTCAGGGTTTATAGGGGGAAGATGAGTGAAGTCAGTCTGCTGCTGCGAAGAGAAATCCTCCTTTGTTATCCCCTTCATTATGTATGAATTCAATTTCATCTGCATAGATCAAGTGATCGGAAAAAAGCCAAGAATACCGGACCAACAAATTAGCTATACCTTCGTTGTAATATTACCATGATAACTGCTGTGGTGATAGTGGTGATGGTGGTGGCTTGACTTGCTTTAGAATGTTTCAGATGCATGTCGTCCACTTTGGTTTACCTTTATATAGCTTATACAGAAGCAAAACAGTAAAACACCTAAACACAGTAGGATTTTATTAAGTCAGGTGAAAAGTGGAAATCGTGAATCTCAGTATTACTGGTCGTATTATTTTATTCGTTTTAAAAGTCATTGTATCACTTATGACTGAATTGATAACATTTTTGCATAGTTTGCTTGGTTGTAGAGTTTTTGATTGATCCGTCATCCGTTTCTGTATGACCTATATTTCGGAAAAAAACTGCATGTTAAATGAAACCAACTGTTGTGCATTACCTAATATTTTGTGCTTGAAATCAATAGTTTCATTTTTACAAACTATGGTACATTGTGGTCAGATTAGTTTCGGAAACAGATGAATCAGGTCGCTTAAAATATGGACGGGCGATAAACAGCAGACTTTGTATTCTGTGGGTTGGGTGGATCGAATTTCATCATTCATCGTGTGATTGGGCAAGTGTATTCTCGACCAATCAGTTGCAAGGTCATCATTAAGACTGAGTAGACAGAATCACGTGAATCAAACAGCTACAACGAGGCAGTTATACCAGGTTTTCTGCTTCCAGTGACCTAACGTGTAAGACATGCAATAGAAACTGTATACTTTTAAAGATTGTGAATTTACAATGATACATAAATGCACGAGTAGTTTTCCCAAGCTAAACCAACCTTTTCACACATCAAAACTTGATAAGTAGCTATACCAACTAAGGTTGAAGATTCATATGGGAAGTGGTGGTTGTGGAGGTGGATTAATTTCACAGTAATCTTTACCATGGATGGATATCAGCCGGAGAACTGTTGGAAACTTGGGCACACTGGGTGGCTGTTTCGGTTTTTTTCGTTCACCTCAATAGTGCTCACTCATGACCTCAAGAGCAAATAAACCACACATAGAAATTCATCGGTTTTATGTGTCCACACATACACACAATGAGCAAGTTAGCAGAAAAACACATGCCCAAGTCACCTTAGTTGGTGAAGCTTCACAACCTCATTGAATACATTCCTTTCCTTGCCTATTACCCTTCACCTGACCTCAACATCCCTCACAAAGTGATTTCACTAGTCACCAGCAACAAGATTGAAACCCAGTAATTGTTTCATGTCTTCTACTTTAACAGTCATGTCTCACAGCCTTTTAACAGGAGAGGATGGATTGCAGCGCAGTATACTTGTCCTCTAACACGAAGTCGGATACCTCGCCAATCGACACCACATGTAACCTAAATTAGCAAATTCCAAACGGGCATTTTGCATCCAATCGGGTTGATGCAACTCCCCAAGTAAGTGAAATGGTCGACACATTCCACTGCTTCATTCTCTACCATCACACTTGGAGTCGTCGTAGACTAGTCTTGAAGCATCATGTTACATTTGACAGGTGCCGACGAAACTCATATCAAACATACTCAGATTTCTATTGGACGCGTTCACAAAAACCTGAAGTTTGTCACTGTCTACTGGAGTATATCAATCTCTGTGAAGTCAAATATATATAAGGTTATACCCATTAATACATCTCTCACAAGAACGGTGACAGTGGGGATCCCTGATGGACACCACTAGTTGTTGTGGTTTCACATGATAACTCTCAGCGAACCGTTGCATGGCTTCCTGAGCTCGAGGAGAAAGGTTCGATTAGCTCTATGTACTTCCTCGTTGCTCCCATTCACAGGTATATGCTGGAGTCAAATGCAGCCTTCGGGTCAAGAGCGACCTAGCTTGTAAACGTAAAATCTCGCTGCAGGCATATTATTCTTCAGCCACCAATATCAATTTATGTTGACAACTACCTTAAACTGTAGAATGGCTCATCACCCAAAACACCACTGATCTAAACAACCGTGTGACTAAGAACCGATTGCATGTACAGTATGATTGTAATAGGATCGGATTGTAAATTTAACCAATAGATTGTATCTATCAAAGTTAATGAGATGTTGAATGGCATTTCACCTAGGATTAAAAGTTTTTATTCCACGTAGTTATTAAAACAAATCGGAAAGCTGTCGGATATTGGCAAATTTTTTTGTCTTGTCTTCATTTTCATTGGGCCGTGGGAACAACCAATCAAATCATTCACCTAAAATGAAATAGTCTGAACCAACAATCAAGTTAACTAAACATAAAAAGGACTGGAATTTAGTGTCATTTCTGATGGTTCAAGCGGTTTTTTTACACGCATGTCGAACTTTTGATTTTAATGAGAAAATGGAGTAAATTTAAACCTAACGTACACATCGATTAATTAAGCGTTAAAGTTCATACTAATACAATTCGCTTAAGTAGAGTAGAATGAAGTGAACTATGTTCAATCTACAGTGCAAATGATGTTTAATTGCTTCAATTAATGGATATCATCAAACCACCTACGCATACACACATACACGCACACACTGAAAGATAAATACACTTGTATTCAATTATTATTAGTATGATGAATGCGCACATACACACACACTTATTGATGCACAAATACACAAGTAGTCAAAAGCACAAGACTAGGTTAAGTACGTTAACAGTTGAAGACTCGACTGGAAGCATATCATATTTGGAGGCACATATGTTCTCTTCTGTTCTGTCTATACACTACTACTACTACTAGTAGTAGTAAAACTCCTAGCACATGTGTAAGTGCATATTAAGTCATGTGATTGAAAATGTTACTCAATTTATATGCTCATACAACATTACAAAAGTGTACAATCATAATTTTAATTATTGTTATACTAATTACAAAATTTATACACAGTGACAATTGAACAAATTCACATTTCAATACAGTATATTTAAAAAGGAAATGCAGATTTCATTCTCCCTTAAATAAATAAATATTACGCAATTCAGAAAGGAATAATTATATTCTTGGATTCTCTACCTGAACATATAGCTTCAAGTGAGTATCACAATTTTGTTTGTATAGTCTACTTTGTCAAAAGAAAACGGATAAATTAATCATGAAAAGTCTTATGATTCAGAAAGTTGTTCAGATGATGACGTTAGATGTTAGTTATTAGCTTTGGTACCTAGCGGCATTCATCAACAACTTATGGATGCAAGTGTTTTTTTAGGGATTCGAGAGCTTACCGTTCCGTTCTGATGTCAGCATTTTTAATGAGAAGCTATCCAGACTAAAACTCTGTGTGTATGTGTGTGTGTGTGTGAGTGATAGGTGACCAGTTTGTAAATCACTTGAAAATGACAACGGTACAAACACTGTGGTCTGGTTTTTTCTCAGCTAACTGTGAAAAATAGTCAACAGTGCTGTCTAAATGCTGATATAGTCCGATAGCAATGGAATATTAAGACATCGAGTATTGAACTTGATTACAGGACTTTCTACTCGTTTGGGTAGAGAAGAACCGCTTAGGTGTCTGACGAGTCAACATCCCCAGTAGTGATTGTTTGTTTATTCAATTCACGGTGTGTCAATCGATAAAGGATTGCTGAACCTTTTCTCATGGTTTCTGCTGATATTTGACGCATAAAAGTCAGAAGTAGAGAAGTCTCGTAATTTCGAAATACACTTAGTATTTGATTGGCTGGAAGTAGTCTACGACAATCTGTTCTCAGAGTAAGCTTTATGCTTGTTGACACTCGTCGGTAATGTAGTGTGGCCTATTTAAAGCTGGTTCGTCGTATTGTGGGGCTTTTGAAATGGCATGTTGTGGTTGAATCATTCATCCAGATGAATGTAAAAAATCAAGGAACGGCAAGACTGAAAGGAGGTTATCACTAATTTAGTTACCAGAAGTTATTTTATATTCTAGAAGTTTGTTCACGATAGTGTTAAGAAGAACTTGAAGCTCCTAAGTTTATTTTCTTTAGTCTTTAGTCTTCCAGTTGACAATCTCATCCAAAAAATATACAGGGAGTTGCTATTTCATATGAGATTTGTTTACTTGATGTAGCACACGGTGAGTGGTGCAGTTTTATTTACTTGAGGACCTTTCCACTATATAAACTATTGCTCATAACCATATCAAACTAAGTAATCAAACAACTTTCAGCATCTGACGTTTATACTCGTATCGTCTTATATTGTCTGTTTTTACAGGCAAGAAACTTCTCCAAATCTCTGGTATAGGTGATGCATGATTCCTACTGTACGTGTTGGGTGTAATATAAATGTTGACTCAGAACGCACTCATAGAACTAAGCAGTTGAAAGATGAGATCATGTTAGGTGTACAGTTGTGCCTGACCTGCACAGTTTTCAAGTTTCCGGAAAAAAAAATACGTAGACAAACAGAAGGAGTAGCGATTGGATCACCGATACCCCCAGTCGTAGGAGATATATATTTATGGATAGTTTTAGGATAACATGACTATACAAATGTTTAGTCCTGCACCAAAAATATGGTGGCGATATGTGGATGACACATTTACCACTGTGTTGAAATCGGAGAATATCGACGGTTCCCTCATGCATATAAACTCAGTAGTAGATGCAACTCAATTCACTTACGAGATAGAAAATAAACAAGGAGAATCACCTATGTTAGATTGTAGGATAAAATGAAGGACAGACGGTGGTTTGGATACTACCGTCTACAGAAAACTGATACATTCTAACGGGTATCTAGACTTCAAGTCATCTCATCCAATGTCAGTCAGTTAAGGCGGGTTTAGTCAAATGTATAAGTGAAACAGCTAGAAAACTGACTAGTCAGTTCAAAGACCTAAACAAGGGACTGAAGCACATAAAAGAAGCACTAACAGTTAGTAATTATGCTCTACAGTTTGTTCGAACACACAAAAAACGAAATGATCAAAGTAACATGATTACGAAGAATAACGACAACATGAGTAGAAACGAGTTCATAGCCTCCATTGTGTTACCCTATGAAGAAGGAACATCAGAAACTTTACATAGGATCCTCAACAAGGCTGGACTTAGGGTGGCATTCAAGCCTACAAACTCACTCAGACATTAGCTTTGTTGGTTCAAGGATGAGATAGATCCAGTTAAGCAAAATCATTTAATCAGCCAAATTCCATGTAATGACTGTGAGGTCAAGTACATAGGTCAAACTAGCCGATTGGGGTCTGTTAGATTATTCGAACATGGGAATGTAGCTAAATGTAGAATGACAGAACTGAATAAGATCAGTAATCTAGAAAAGTACTCAGGTATTGCAGTGTATGAATCAACATACAACCGCATAACACACTGGGTGGGATAAAGCCACTGTACTCAAGTTCAGTATAATTAGGTGAAGGGAGAGAGAGGGATTATTGAATCTTTGTTCATTGAATCAACACCCAATATGTTTGATAGAAGTGACGCAATACGCATACCACAGATATGAAGAAGTTTACTACCAATAAAAAAAAGAATATGAGATGGGTGGCAGAACTAAAAAATGATCAAATGATCACATTGATATGATTTTATGAGCAATGATAATTTATGCTCGAAACGTCATCAGATAAACAATACTGTATCAGTGTAGGCTGCATATTAAATAAACATATTTAACATGAAATTGTGCCCAAGTTTAACCAAACGGTTCTGGGCTTTACCCCTAGTGAGGATGTGGATACACATTGCTGAGGAGCCGGCAAACTGGAATGAAATAGCTTTTCAGTGCTTCCAGTTCTTTTCTGGTTCTTCTGGTGACATTAACCCGTGATAAGGATTACTTTGCTATCCACCAATTCTCTAGAAACCTTAAAATAAACAGTGATATGTTTGCAACAATAAATAACTAACAATGTTGTCTTCAGAAAGAGTAATGCACATAAAGATTAATGACGAGTTTTCATAAGCTAAGATAAAGCACTATCTTGAAAGTAGGAACAGTTAGAACCCAGTAGATTCCTTGATATTGTGCAGAGAAGTTCACTTTTCCCTATTTTCACCGTACGATACTCGTGATGCTTTTTGGTTTGCATTCACACGATCCTTTCAAGACTAACAACTGAGTTTCAGGCGCACTACCAATCCTAGGCTTCTCACCAACTGCCTCCAACCAACTAATGGTTAACGTTAGTTTGAAAAAGGCACTGAAGACACCTTGATTCTAGATTAGTGTAGTCCGCATGAAAATGGCATCAGGAAACGTATCATACTGTGAGTAGCAACTAATATTGAAGGAGAATCATGCAATCTGATTAGTTCCTAACAGTCACTTCAGACGAACAGGTATATACTTAAATTTAGAGATGAATAGACATCTACTGTCAAATGTCTGTCAGTTCAGACAAATACGATAGAGAAGAGAAGTTATAAACCTTTTATACTAGGGTGTATTGCTGAAGTGAAATGGATGGATATTTTGGTCAACTGGAACACAGCTGTAGTATAAAATTTTTATCAGCCGAAGAAATGAACATGTCTTGTTGACTATAGCACCTGGAGGTTCTAAGTTCGATCGCTGGTGAAGTCATGAGTGCGTACTGCTGAGGACTCCCATACTAGTACGAAATAGCTGTCCCGGGCTCCCGGCTTTCCATTGTTTCTCCAACTGATGTCAGTCCATGATGAGTATGAACTCGACATTAATAAATAAATCCCCACAAACCTCCAACTTGAAAAACGTCTGACTTGCCTCTGTTTATAGCATGGCATTTAACAGAAAAAAGTGAAGGATCAATGCAGGAGGTGATAATGGAGGCGGTTACATATAAAAATAGCTGGTTGTGTTAAATAACCAGGGTATTCCAAAAGCTTTATTCAGTCTTCTACAGTCACTTGGTCTACTGTCTGGAAACTGCTTGTGTAATGCTGTGTAATACAGGTGAGTATTTCTGTCTCAGGCTGTTGGTTATCAGTGGAATGCAGAACGCGCGTTTCGTCTCGTTTATGGCCCTTCAGCTGCACCCCAGTGGGTGATAATTGAAGGCGAAATCAAAAACTGCACCACGGCTGGATTTTTATCTCACCTTCAACCATCACCTAGTATAAACACTAGTCTGCCAAACTACGGCTATCTCAGATAGTCAAATGTTAATGAGAACGGTTGTATTCCGACTGGAACTTTAACCTGGCCCCAGTGCTTCAGAAACCACGGCATTATAAAAATAGGACGAAAAGTACATCCCTTATTCAACCATTAGCCGCCACCAAGGTGATTATAACGTGATAAATCCTTAGGTATCCACAAAGGAACCTATCTGCCAACAAAGGTCAAGGTATTTGATCCAATACAACAATTGGAAATTAAATGTATCAGTAAATAATAATGACCTGTACTCGTTGCACAAAAAGTGGCCATCATGCCTCAGCGGCCCAATGACTGAAGTCTTATCGTTTGAAGCGATGGGTGTCAGGTTTCAGTCACAGTTCTAACAGCACTAACTGGTGTATAGGTACATCTAGCTGACAAGTCCTAAGAAGGACAGAATACACTTCCTGGATTCCACCATTAGCCACTGAGTAAATTACAGTCTTATCATTTTATTGCTTGTACGATAGATACACAGTGAAAACAACTCATAGTAAATGGATAGAATGAGCACAACAGCTAACAAACAAAACAAACACATATGAACAAAAATCGTTAACTTTCTACAGCATCATTCTATTTTGGAAATGAGAAAAATTATGAAAACTTGAAATTTTTCATACAAACAATAAAATTGTTTTGTTCCATAACCGTTTGTCAGTTGAGGCTAGTATTTCATCATATGACAATAATTCTAGTAAACACTAATGAAAGTGATGATGACGGTAACAGTAACAATGAGGTGTTGGTGAATAGTTGAAAGTTGGTTTTAATGTTTCCCGGTTGGTGACAATCGACAGCTGACCCATCTGAATGTAGGTTTTGTATTTCTAGGTTCTCATCACCAAGGCGTATATGCAACCTTAATGGAGTCGATCTCTTCTTACAGACTCAAATCCATATCACTCAGTGTTATAGTCTGAGGAAGTTCAGCTGGGTCATTGACC